ATTTTGGGTTAATTTTGGGTTAATTTTGGGTTAATTTTGGGTTAATTTTGGGTTGGTTTTGGGTTAATTTTGGGTTAATTTTGGGTTAATTTTGAGACAATTTTGGGTTGATTTTGGGTTAATTTGGGGTTAATTTTGGGTTAATTTGGGGTTAATTTTGGGTTAATTTTGGGTTAATTTGGGGTTAATTTTGGGTTAATTTTGGGTTAATTTTGGGTTGATTTTGGGTTAATTTTGGGTTGATTTTTGGGTTAATTTTGGGTTGATTTTGGGTCAGATTTTGGGGACATATTTGGGTCAGATTTTAGTCAGATTTGGGGTTGATTTTGGGGTCAGATGGTCAGATTTTGGTCAGATTTTGGTCAGATTTTGGTCAGATTTGGGTCAGATTTGGATCAGATTTTGGGGTTGATTTGGGGTTGATTTGGGGTGAATTTTGGGGTGAATTTTGGGGTTCCCAGACAGAGAAGGTGACGGTGTGCGGCGACACCCACGGACAGTTCTACGACCTCCTGAACATCTTCGAGCTCAACGGGCTCCCCTCCGAGGCCAACCCTTACGTATCCACCCAGAACGAGGCTTGGGGACATCTTGGGGACATCTTGGGGACCTTTTGGGGACGTTTTGGGGACGTTTTTGGGGGGTTTGTTGTCCTCAACCGGCGGCAGATTTTCAACGGGGACTTCGTGGACCGCGGCTCCTTCTCGGTCGAGGTCATCCTGACGCTCTTCGGCTTCAAGCTGCTCTACCCCGACCACTTCCACCTGCTCCGAGGTGATTCCAGAAGGTTCCAGGGCCCTGGGGGAGGGTTTGGGGGCCCCCTCGGGTGGGTTTGGGGGGGGTGGTGTCCCCACCTTTGTCACCTTTGTCACCTTTGTGTCACCGTGGCTCACTATGTGGCAGCGCCTGCTGTGGGGGGTGGATCACTTTGGCAGGTCTTGGGGGGGGTTTTGTCACCTTGGGGTTGGGGACATTCCTGTGTCCTTTGGGGACATCCCTGACCCCTTTGGGGACATCCCTGACCCCTTTGGGGACATCCCTGACCCCTTTGGGGACATCCCTGACCCCTTTGGGGACATCCCTGACCCCTTTGGGGACATCCCTGACCCCTTTGGGGACATCCCTGACCCCTTTGGGGACATCCCTGACCCCTTTGGGGACATCCCTGACCCCTTTGGGGACATCCCTGACCCCTTTGGGGACATCCCTGACCCCTTTGGGGACATCCCTGACCCCTTTGGGGACATCCCTGACCCCTTTGGGGACATCCCTGACCCCTTTGGGGACATCCCTGACCCCTCTGGGGACATCTCTGACCCCTCTGGGGACATCCCTGTGTCCCCCCTCCCCAGTCAATGTCCCCAGACCCCTCTCAGTGTCCCCCTGTCCCTCTCAATGTCCCCTCGCCCCCATCAGTGTCCCCAGACCCCTCCCAGTGTCCCCAGTGTCCCCCGCTGTCCCCGCTGTCCCTCCCAGTGTCCCCAGACCCCCGGGCAGTGTCCCCAGTGTCCCTTCCCGTGTCCCCAGCTGTCCCTGCTGTCCCTCCCAGTGTCCCCAGACCCCCGGGCAGTGTCCCCAGACCCCTCCCAGTGTCCCCCGCTGTCCCTGCTGTCCCTCCCAGTGTC